TATTTTGAGACAGAAAGAGGGCGCGGGCGGGGGAGGGGCAGAGAGAGGGGGAGAGAGGATCCCAAGCAGGCTCTGGGCTGTCAGCGTGAAGAACCAGAGGCAGGTCTCAATCTCCTGAATCGTGAGATCGTGACCTGAGCGGATAACGACTGAGCCACCCAGGCGCCCGTATTTTATTTTTTTAAATAGGCTCCACACCCAACCTGGGGCTTGACCTCACCGCCCTAAGATCAAGAGTCGCAGCTCCACCACCACCGGAGCCAGCCAGGCGCCCCTGAGGTGCGCATTTTTAACAAATGTGCGCCCTAAATTGTTCCCAGGTCGATACATCCACCCATACTGGATGCACCTTAAGGGCCAAGATGATGTATTACACAGTGCTCAGCACAAGCGCCAGCTCAGATCAGGGAATGAATGATGCATGGATGCATGTGACCGAAGGAAGGAAGGAAGGAAGGAAGGACGGACCTCCCCACCCCCACACTTCAGTCCCATCCATCATAGCTCTACCACTCCCTCTTCTTCAGCCCAACCTTTCCATTCCCCCTCCTCTTCACTCTACTGGCTCTGTGCATCCTTCCCATCCAGTCTTGTAGCTGCTCGTGTATGTGTGTTTCTCAGCTCCCCTCCCCAGAGAGGACAGTAGGGCCATTGGTCAACAGTTATTAAGCATCTGCTGGGTAAGTCACCGTGCTTGCCTTTGGACCGTCCTGCCCTCTGTATACAGTCCAGGCAGCAGCAGGAGGAGGAGGAAACTGGCGTTTACGGTATAATATGATGAGTGCCTTGATGCCCATAAAAGGGGGGAGCCTGGGGAGCCAGGCTGACGTCCGCGAAGGTTCTGGTAGACTTTCTGATCATTTTTCTCTCCACGCGGTCATCATCATCATAGTCAATACTCACGCTGGATTCACTAAGCTCCCAACAGTGTTCTAACAATTCATTAATAGCCTCACTAAGGAGTGGCCAGAGGGGAGATCAAATTTGTGGAATTTGTTTCAATTCCTTAATCCTTCTTTCTTTAACTTTGAAATAAGACCTTCTCATTCTCACATCCTCAGATGTCAGAAAGGTCCTCTCTGACCCCTAAGCCAAGAACTGCCCTCTTCATTTAGAACAGAGTACTCCATTTCATGATGTTTTTGAGCCTGTTGGGGGAGAGGAGATTTTTCTTCTATGTTCTTAGGTTCAGTCGTTAGGGGCCTGTGAATTAAGGTGACAAAAGACGGATTAACAAAAGAAAAGACAAAATTTAATCATGCATTTTTATTAATGTACCTACGGAATTCACATAAAAATGTGACTCATAGAGAAAGTTAGACGTGGGACCTATATACCATCTTAATAGAAGAAGAGAAGCGGGGAAGGGCACTTGTGGAAAAATAAATGCCTTTTTTTTTTTTTAATTTTTTTTTTCAACG